AATATTGTACGAAGTCTGTGCTGGACGAAGGACGGAAAGCTACTCAGTGCGGCCGCCGACAAGACGATAAAGCTTTGGGACCCCTACAACACGCCGAGCGATTCCGCGCCGATTTCTTCCTGGCTGGGCAACAGCGGTTTCCAAAGTCTGTCCCATCACAGGACACGAAACGCCTTTGCGGCTTCATCCGCGTCTAGCGAGATCGCCATTTATGACCTCGAGCGACACAGTGCCGCGCCTGAGATTCTGCGCTGGCCTAACGCGACCGACACGATCACCTCCGTTGCCTTCAACCAGGTGGAGCAGTCAATTCTGGGAAGCACGGCTGCCGACAGAAGCATCGTCCTCTGGGATGTCCGTACTGCGATGCCCCTGACGAAGACGACAATGACTTTCGCATGCAACTCCCTGTCGTGGAACCCGATGGAGGCTTTCAACCTGGTCGTCGGCAGCGAAGATCACAACTGTTATGTAAGTGTGGAGATGTCAAGAATGCTTGTGGAAGATGCTGACCTGTGCAGATGTTTGACATGCGCAAGTTCGACAGGGCGCTAAACGTTTACAAGGGCCATGTCGCGGCTGTCATGAGTGTCGAGTTCAGTCCGACGGGTGAGGAGTTGGTCTCCGGATCCTACGACAGGACAGTCCGCATCTGGAACCGCGACCAAGGTCACTCTCGCGACATCTACCACACCAAGCGTATGCAGAGAGTCTTTAGCACCATGTTCACGCCCGACTCCAAGTACATTCTTTCCGGCTCCGACGACGGAAACGTGCGCATCTGGAGATCCAACGCCAACGATCGATCCGGCATCCGCTCCGCGAAGCAGAGACAAGCCCTCGAGTACAACGAGGCCCTCGTCACCCGATACAGCCACATGCCCGAGATCAGACGCATCAAGAGACACCGCCACTTGCCCAAGGTCATCAAGAAGGCTGGCGAGATCAAGAATGTCGAGCTCAAGTCGATCAAGAGACGCGAGGAGAACGAGCGCAGGCACACCAAGAAACAGTTCGAGAAGAGAAGGAGCGAGAGAGAAAAGCCTATCCTGGCGCGCGAGAAGTAATGGAGTATCTGAGAAGAGTGCTGCTTATTGCATTGTTCGGCGTTTGGGCGGCATGTCAACTGTATGTATGGGACAAGGGGGCCACTGTGTGAAAAGTGCATTTAGAATCAATACCACAAGTCAGGTCGTCCATGGTCAAGATTTGGTCGAGAATATATCAACGAATTCCCGCGAGATGTTACCCATCATTCTTAAAAAATTTCACCATTGTCCATTCTCACGTACCAACTTCGCAACTGGCATCTTTAATCTTAATCCCGGACCGGCTCTCATTCGGCGGCCGACAAGTCCGGCGGCTCGGAGAGAAGCTTAAAAGACAGCGGCCCACCCGGCAGCGCAAGCCGTGGCGGAGAGATGATCATGGGCGGCTGCAAGGGGCGAAACGGGGTGCTTTGGTGGTAGCAGCCGGCCCCAAACCACCCAGGGGTTCCAGGGGCACACACAGACAGGAGCTGACCTGTCAGGGGCCCCCTAGCGCTTGGCCTCCGTTTCAACGCCCCCAGAGGTCCATCCACATGTGACGAATTCCAGCTCCCCGCTGCAGAGACAGCGCCTCGAGCTTTCCCATTCCTTGTGGCCAGACTGCAGCCGACTTTTCGTCTCATCTTTTCCCGATTTTTCATTTCTTCCCTTTCCTCCCAACGCTGGACGACACCTGTACGATTCTTCCTTTACATCCGCATCCTTCCCACCTTAATCCTTCTTTTATTCTGTGCAGGACGCGGGAGAGAGCTGTTGGTCTAATACGTCGCGAGAACACGCACAGCCGTCACTGCTACCTCGAGAGAGAACACCACCACCACCACAATGGAATACCCACGCCCACCCCAACAAGAGTCGTGGTTCGCGCCCCTCTCAATCGACCTCATCGTGAAGGTCTTCAAGATCACCTTCTTCCACCCCTTCGTCTCCTGGATTATCCCTCTGTGCTTCCGCGCGCAAGCTCTTCCTTACGATGCCCCGCAAATGATCGCCTCCATCGCTTGGGCGACCTTCATTACCCTCTGTTGGATGGCGGGCATCATTAACCAGCGCGTCGCTTACGGCCTGCCCCGCGAGGTCGACCTCTCCGAAGAAGTCATTGTCATCACCGGCGGCGCCAGTGGTCTGGGTCTGCTGATTGCCGAGGTCTACGGCATGCGCGGGGCCACCGTCGCTGTGCTCGATGTCAACGAGATGGAGAACGGCGAGGCGCGGGGTGTGACGTTCTACAAATGCGATGTCACTGACAAGAACGAGGTCGCGAGGGTAGCGGGAGAGATCGAACGCGAGGTAAGCTCCCCAACGTGCCCCCCATACGATATCACAGATCACTGACAGTCCATCCAGCTCGGCACACCAACCGTTCTGATAAACAACGCAGCAATCGTCAAGGGCAAGCCCCTCCTCGAGCTCGAGATCTCCGACATTGAGCGCTCTATCACCACGAACTTGACCTCCCACTTCATCACGCTCAAGACCTTCCTCCCACAGATCATTCGCGGCGGCCAGGGCGGCACAATCGTCACAATGTCCTCCGTCCTCGGACACCTCGGCGCTGCCTCCCTCACAGACTACGCCGCGGCCAAAGCTGGTGTTACTGCTCTCCACAAGTCTCTGACTGCCGAGCTTGCTGCCTCCTACCCCGAGATCCGCACCATTCTTGTTGAGCCCGGCCAGCTCTCGACCCCGCTCTTCTACGGCGTTCAGACCCCCCACGCTTTCGTCGCGCCCGTTGTTGAGCCCGTGGACGTGTGCAAGGAGGTCGTAGCGGCCATCGACGCGGGCCGCAGTGCGCACGTGGCGATGCCGCTGTACGCCAGGTGGATTCACTGGTACAATGTGCTCCCCGCGTCTGTTCAGCAGGTTGCGAGAAGGGTCGCCGGTGTAGATACCTCAATGAAGACTTTCATCGGAAGGCAGGAGAGGGGCATGAGTGAGAAGAACGGAAGATTGATTTAGGGATGTTGCGCAAATACCAAAGGACCTTGCGGCGCCGGCGTCGGGGAGGTCTCGTAATCTCAAGCCGCATGTACAGAAACGTCTCAAGACCTACATGACATATATACTCTAATTTACGTTCAAATCAATTGAAGACTACCTGTCTACGTGCTGGTTTCCTTGGACTCTTTGCCAGACAGATCTGCAGCCGGAGAAACCCTATTCAGGCCATCCAGCTTCTTGTACGTGAGCGTGTCGAGGTCAATGCCGTCAAGAGCGCGTGCCTATCTGTGGTTTAGCATGTTTACCCGCTGAGAGCCAAGAAAGGAAACACGTACGCTGATTCCGTAGTAGTCTTCATTCAAAAAGTCGATGCCCAGACTCGAGCCGCAGCTCCCGCAAAACATCTGATCCTTGGTCTTTGTGTTGAAGCGGTAGTTGGTGCACTTCTCCCGTGAGCCATCGTGCCAGGTGACATCCTTCTTACTGGGGTCTGTGGGTGTCATCAGTCAGTCATTTCGAAAACGCAACAGTCGCGCGACAATGTACATCCAATATACAATTTCCGCATCCAAGCAACAAAAGAAATTAAGGAAGAGAAGAGATGATTCCAGACTCACAAATAAGCAAGTACCCGCTGCGCCGGCAGATGGAACAGTTGCAATTGAGCACCTTGTACCCCTCCTCCAGCGGCGGCGAGAGCGTCAGCGAGAACTTGACGTTGCCGCAGTGGCAGCTCGCGTCGTACGTCTTGGAGGGCTTGGGCGCTTCTTCGGCGGACATTCTGTCTGTATTTTATCGTTCTATATTCCTGATTGAATATGAGCGGTTTTTTGCGACGCCGAAAGTTATTGGTGGCGTGATTGGTTTGCTCACTGTTAGGAGTTTATGTTGGGTTGACACTTTGGAGCAACAACTAGGAGATTCGTTTGCATGGAAGGGCGTGCAATATGATCAAAGAAGGCCAATTGCTTTATAATCAAAACAGGCACAATAGACCTGTTTTGGGGAACACTACCGCGACAGGCGAAATTGTAAGGATTCGTCGAGTGTGTTTTCATTGCCACAATTATCCGTCTTATCAAAGTCCGAGGCCCCCTCTCGAAGGGCGTCACCTCCGCCCCCCATGTCATGTTGGCCGACTGCCTGCTACATTTACTAGAATACCCGCCCTGTCCACAGCGGTCTTGCTATTATCTCATAATGTCCGTCATAGGTCTTTTTCAAGAGGAAAAGAACAAAAAATTCAATAGTCTATAGTTTCACAGCTGTGGGGCCCGGGCCTGTCATCCTCGGCTGCCACACCAGGATTGCGGGAGGATCGACTAAATGCGGGGGTTCCCGAAAGACAAAGAAATTGTCAGATTAACTTCCATCAGTCTTGATTAGTAGTTCGGAGGAACCATAAACTATATCAAAATGACAGTTTGGTCAGTGCGTGCGTTCACGGATGATCGGCCGATTAGCCTGAACCTTTCGTTTTTCTTAATTGAGCCTCTCTTACGAGACCAGCTACATTTCCTGTATAGCATTACTCCGATTAAGGACGATAGCGGTAGAGACAACGATGGTAAATAGACAGTAGTAGAAGAATTATCAATGATGAAGGCAATAATGACGACGGAGGCAGTGGTAATATAGTGTCTATGTGAACCCGCAAGAAATTCAGTTGCTCTAGCACAGGAAAGTAGGCGTTCTTGTTCTTGTTCTTGTTCCCATTTTCAATTTCTCTGTTCTCATTCGAGTGTAACTAGGATTATTATGTGGGTAAATGGTAATAAAATGGCAAAGGCAAGATGGTATCATCAGATGAGCGATGCTGTCGTAAACCTTTTCCAAATCAACATGACGCTGAAACAACTTTTTTGGAGTCCCCTCCCTTCCCTTTCCCTACTTTCCTGGCCGGTGGTATCTTGATGCAAAAAGACAAAAGCCAGAAAAACCTCGCTGGGAAATCGAGGTCACATATAAAAGGCGTACATATATACACCTTCACACACTTTGGTGGACGGTTTAGACGGCGTTCTCGGCCTTGTTGCCGCTGGTCCTCGGGATGCTCGAGGGCCCGTTGACGGAAGGCGGCTTCTCGTTCTCGTGGCTGACGTATCCGTTGGTAAGGTCCTCAACGGGCTCCTCGGGCTCGTCGGCAGGCGCCGCAAAGGTCGGGGCGTACGCGCTCTTGGCGCGGATCTTGTGTCCCCAGATGTAGAAGATGACTGGAATAGGTGCAAGGACAACAGCGACGCAACCCAGGAGGGTCGAAGCGTACTCGATTCCCATGCCGTTGAACATGTAGCTCGCAAACAGGGGGAAACCGGCGCCGCAGAGGGAACGGAGAAAGGTGTTTCCAGCAATGGCGGAGGCAGCGAACATGAGATAGGCGTCGACCAAGTAGTTGAGGGCCTGGAGGAAGATCGACATGAGGCCGAAGCCGGTGAAGAGGCCGCTAAGGGTGGGGACGATCCAGTGGATGTCTGCGCGGTAGCCGGACCATCCGAACCAGAAGATACCGGCTGAAAAGAAGATGCCGCCAGCGATGACGCTGGGCAGACGCCACTCGGGAATGGGAACGCCGTTGTTGGCCTTGAGCTTGCGAAGATACCAGGGTTGCTGAAGGAGGACAGTAACACCGGCGATGAGTTGGCCGGTAATCATGCCGAAAAATGTCAGGCCCGACTGGCCAGCGTTGAAGCCGTGAATGCCGCGGAAGACGAAGGGGTAAGCCGTCAGGAAGAGATACAGGAGTCCGTAGATGAAGGCCATGTACACGGACAAGGCGGTGACGATGGGCTCTCCGAAGAGGAGGCGCATGGGACGAGAGAAGTTCTTGTTGACCAATTCCTTGAAGTCGACCTCGATTTCCTCCTGCTTGGCGTGAATGCCCCAGTTGCGAGTGCGACGGCGCAGCTCAGAAGCCTTGCTGACCAGGATAACAGGCGGGTATGTCTCCTCGAGGAAGAGCAAATCCAGACCGAAGGCGAAGAAGCCCATGATAGCCGCGAGGTACTCAGTCCAGCGCCAGCCAAGGTGGGACTCAACAATGTAGCCACCAATGAAGGGAGCCAACAGCGGACCGGTGAAGACGGCCATTGAGAAGACAGTGATAGCGCTACCACGGCTGCGGTTGTCGAACATGTCTGAGAACACAGCCGCGACGACAGCCAACGGACAGGCGCCGAAAAATCCAGCGAAGAACCGGGTGATGAGAATGGTCTGAAGATCCTTGGCGGTAGCAGTAGCAATAGAGAACACGGAGAAGCCAAACATTGCGAGGACCAGAGGCAGTCTTCTGCCCTTCAGCTCAGAAAGCGGCGCCCACAAACTAGGTCCAAAGGCGAAGCCCAAGACGTAGAAGGACACACCAAGCGTGCCGACAGTTGTCGACACGCCATACTCAATCGCAATAACCTGGGTTGCCGCGGAGAAGATACTGCTGCAGAATGCGGCTGTCATCGTGGTGAAGCCAAGCATTGCGGCTGTAAGTAACCTGCACGCCAAGACATGTTAGTGACGGCCCTGAGGTGGAGCGCGTGCGCGCATGGCGCACAGGATGTCATTGACTTACTTCTTCTTCAACGGCCAGTTCTGCGCGTGCAGGGGGTCGTTGGGCCCGTCGAATTCCACAACGTACTCCTCCTGTTCCGGCAACGGCGGCGGATACGGCTTGCCGGCGCCCATTTGCGGGAGCGGCCTGTTGGACTGCTTGCTCTTGATGCTGCGGCCGACGGTGTTAGAGTGCTGACTACGGGCCGTCGCGATGCGGCTCAGGGCCGTGGGGTGTCTTTCGAGGTCATTCTGAGTCGAGACACGGCTGATACCAGTGCCGGTGCGAGAGAACGGACGGCGGCCGGTGGAGACGGAGGACGCAGAGGATGAAGAGGATGCGGAGAGGACGCGCTCGATCTCGTGGCTCTCACGGCCGTGGTAGCGTTCGGGGGAGGCGGCGCGCTCGGCGGCCGCGATCTCGCGGTCGACTTCGTCCATTGCCATGTTGGACGGCCGATTGTGTTTCGAGAATTTGTGGTGTTGCTGAGAGAGAGAAGCGCAGATCGTTGAGGTGTATACTCTCTGTGCTAGAGCTTGTAGCTAAATACTAGCAGGTGCCGAGGAGCCGCGGATAATCCAATTGATTTCAAAGAGACCCCAATGCAATGCAGAGCTGTGTTGTACTGTTGCTGAGTAGTAGCTCGGAGCTATAATGTGGGCGGCGCGTGTTGGTGACCAGCTACGTCAGAGTAAAGTAATGGGATCCGATCTGAAGCTGTCAGAGTAGTGTGGGCGCCGGTCAGATTTTGGGGGTTCTAGATCGGTGGCGACGAGAGGAGAGCGCGCGCGGACTCTGGAGGAGGGGTAATAAACTGGAGATGATAAATGCGCGATCCAGAAGATAGCGATGGTGCGGCTTTTCGTCTTAAAGAGGGACGTGTTTTCGATGCTATCTGATTCAAGATGGGCGTGAAAAGTTCAGATGAAAAGGAGTTGGTTATTATTAGTGAGCGAGTGGTGGGTTCCGGTTTGTAAGTAGACAAGAATAGGTAAGCCAAGTCACCTAGTTGTACCAGGTTGCAAGTGGTGTATGGGCTATGGGGTACAATGAAAAGTGCGAAAAGGCCGAGGGCCAGGAGTTAGTCGGACGCAGGAGAGAAGGAAAAAAAATCGAATATGGCAACGAGGAATGACTCTCCTCTCAGCTGATTGGGAACTCGCAGTGCAAATCTCCCCGGTTACCAAGCAAGGGGAGGAAGGAAGGAATGGGTCACGGAGTCCCACTTGGGCTCCCAAGTCATGCCGGTTCCCTCTTTTTTCCTTTCCTTACTCTCAGCTTCAGGTAATCGGCAAGCAGCTCGGCACGAAAAATTGCTGAAAGAGACCTACACTTGGGAGAGTGGGTGGGCCCGGACGGGGCCGGAGGCGGCACCCGGCAATGGCCAGCACAAATGCTACATCGTAAATACCTAGGGTGGTGGTTGTAGGGAAGAGGACCCTAGCATGGGAAAAAAATATTCGGCCTACTACCGCACTTTTGCTTAGATATACGTAGGCCATTGAGGCGGTGTTGTTACAGACGTCCTAAGACTTGCCCACGGGTTCATCAAATATTACCAATTGGGATGGCTGTTGCGTTGACAAACTTCGGGTTCCCATGTTTTAGACTTCCATCATCCCAACGGGAAGGCAATCGCTTCGGCAATGGCTCACGGGAACAAATTAGAACAGAGTTTCTGCGGAACATTCCACAGTCCTCGGAAAGGCTCGAGCAACCACCAGCAATCTTGTAAACAAGAGTCGAGTCAAGCAGAAAATTAAAAAGATTGCTGGCAGATCTGCTGTTTCTTCCGTTTCCTTAACGCCCCGGAAACCAATCAATGTGCTGCCACACTACCGGTCGGATCCGAGGCTAGACGATGGGGCGGACTAAAGCCGGGTGATGTCATGTCACCGCAGCTGCAGCTGGACTTTGCAGTTAAGACACGGACGGGAAGGGGGCAAAAAGGAACGCGTAAAAAATTTCCACAGATGGGGCGAGGTTCTGGACCGCCTCCCTCAAACTTCGGCCCCGCGCGCTCGCCTTTCGGAACGATGCATCCACCACACACACACAGCCAAGATGCAATCGACTGACACTGAGGTCCCTTTTAGTCATCAGCCTTAAACGTCACCTTGCTTGACAATCGACACACAAGCTGCTGCACCGACTAAAACGTGGACGCCGCGCCACGGCATCCCCGCGAGTTCCATCATGCATACTCTCGGCCTCGGCTCGCGTGTTTACAGCGCCGCCGAAAGATGGAACTAGGGGTGGAAAGGATCCCGCTGGATCGGGTTAAGCCGCGCGCAATGCGATCTGCGAGTTGTGCAGCTTCACCGTTCACGCAGACCTAGCCGCCTACCGTCTGTCTTCCTGTAATCAAAATGATATAGGCCTCGGGAGGATTCGACAATGATACCTGATACGATTGTTCTCTGCTAGTGAAATTGAACAATACAAAAAGGACCATGATCGTGGATCCAACCTCCATTGCAAGCGTCCACCTTGCTGACGGCGCCGGGGCTCTTTCCGACCCTGCCACCGAGGCCCAACGCCCAGCCCAATGCCGCTTTTTACCGCTATCCGCTGGGCTCCCGATGGCCACCCCGGAGCGGAAGATGGAATCTTCGTCAGCCAGGGGTAAGAAAATTCCGAGCTGCATGGGTTGGATTTGGTATGTCTCCACCAGGCTCAAATTTCTAGAAAAATCTCGAATGCGCCATGCGTCGCTTTCCCGCGGCGATTGAGACACGGAAATATCAGGACGTTTCTTTGAACATATACAATAGTGTATAGATTTTGCGCGATGTATCGCTAAAGAGTCTAGTGTGAAGAGAAAAAGTCCATCCAGAGGGTCCCTCAAATGCAAGGGTCCCGATGCAAATGCAGGTCCACGGCAGATCGAGGCTATCGTCGGACCCCCCAGCCGTTCTCGAGCAGATTCGTCGCCTCTTCCAGGCTCAGTCCCGATGTCTCGGGATAGATCCGCCAGATCAGCCCGTATCCCACCATGCACACCAGGGCGTACAGCACGAACGTCCACGACGGACTCAGCGCGTCCATCAGTGGCAAGAAGGTCAGCCCAACGATAAAGTTGGCACCCCAATTCGTCGCCGTCGACACGCCGCTACCGATGGATCTCACGGCCAGCGGGAACAGCTCGCTTTGCATCCACGGCACATTGCCCAGCCCGAGCGCGTACGACGCGACGTACACCATGATGCTGATTAGAATCAGCACTGCGGCTCCACGGTCTCCGCCCGCTCCAGCCGCCGAGCCGGCTTCGGTGACTGCTACCGTCTCGGTCCGGAGGTCGACGAAGGAGAAGCCGTATGCTGACAGCATCAAGCCGGCAATCATGAATGGCAGGGAGTAGAGCAGAATCTTGCGCCTGCCGATGCGGTCGATAAGACACAGCGCCGCAACCGTGAACAAGAAGTTGGTGACGGCGACGCTGAGGGATGTAAGCGTTGGTGTTCCGAAGCCAACCATCGTGAAGATGGTAGCTGAGAAGTACATGAGCGAGTTGAAGCCGCACAGCTGTTGGAGGCCCTGAAGCAGGCATGTGATAACCAGCGCGCGTTTGTTTCTTGGGACTGCAAAAAGCTCTTTCCAGCCGCCCCACCATTCCAGGCGAGGCGTTCCCTCCCGTCTCATGACCTCTCGCTCGTCTCGGATTTCGATTTCGATCTCCTTGACCACAGATTCGGCAGCTCTCATGCCGCCGACGGTTGAACCGAGAACCTTCTCAACAACCTTCTTCGCCATCAGCGACCTGCCTACCATGACAAGCCACCTGGGTGATTCTGGCATGAACACCAGAATCGCGCATTGCAGGCCCGCAGGCAGAGCACCCAGGCCCACCATCCATCGCCACCCAGTCGACTTGTCGCCATAGACCGCAAAGGCCCATCCAATGATGTACGCGACCACTTGGCCCAGTGTGATGAACAAAACATTCATAGTCACGAGCCGGCCGCGGTGGCTGGCAGGGGCAAGTTCGGCGATGTACAAGGGGACCACGAAGCTCGCGGCACCAACTGCCGCGCCGACTATGGATCGGCCTAAGACCATGGTTGTCACCGTGCCACTCCATGCTTGCAACAAAGCGCCCACGATGAATAGGATATCAGCCACGAGTATCACGCGCTTGCGGCCAAGCGCATCAGCGACCACGGACGAAAAGGGGGAGACGAGCAAGGCAAACAAGGCAGTGCTGGAGGTAATGATGGACTTGTCGAATGATGTCAAGATTCGGTTCGAAAGTGAGGTATCGATGGAAACAAGCGTCGCTGAAATCACGCCGGTATCGTCTGCGCTCAACTGGGTCAGTACTGATTTGCTTCCAGTCTTTCAGCACAGGCCAAACGTACATCCAAACAACAGGCCGCTGATGCCGGCAGCAAACGTGAGGAGCCAAACAAAGAGACTCGGTCTCGACTGAGTGCTCTTGAAAGACTCAGGGAGTACGTCCGCCTCTTCGTCCTCGCGATAGTCCAGCTCGTCATCGCGGTCTGGACGACCGTCCATGAGCGGAGCTTCCATTGAATCGGGCATGTTGTTATTGTTGTAGACGCACCCGGCTGGGTGGCTGCTGGAAGGGAAAAAGGGGGTTTCAAAAATCGACCTGGCGCGTTCGAAAGAATGGAAAAGGCGGCCTTTCAAAAGGCCATGCTGGGGAGATAGTTTCGGCACCGTCGGTCGTCGTCAGAAGGGAGACAGTTAAACAGTTAAACAATGACGGGATGCTGGCCACGTTACTCCCTGAGAGCCGGGAGCTGGGGCCTGCGGGGCACTGGTCACCGGGCCCATGCATTCTGCCTGTTTGTCGGGTACACGGTCCACCACAATATCTGCGGTGGAGGGAAAGTACTCCTGTATCTGATCAAGGCCCGCGACCAGTCAGCTTCAACTCTCTGTGATTCCGAAACTCGGCAGCTGTTCACCGCCCTCCACTGTAAAGCACTGATCATTTCATGAGACGTCAACACCTTCCAGGTTTCTCTCACCTTGATTACTCAGGGCAATCAGGATCGTCAATCAGCGCCCAAGACTGCTACTAATATCGCGCTTATGTAATGCGGCTCGCGACAACAACCTCTGTCAAGGCGTCTCTCGTCCAAACTCCAGTTCTCCCGACTGTTTCGGTAGTCTCAGGTCGCGGCTCGGTCTTGCAGCTATGGCAGCCCGCAGGTCTAGATCAGACTTTCCGAGGCAGGAGTTGACAATGGTTCTCGTATCGACTTTTTGAACTTGATGCCCGTGTCAAATCGAGCCCAGCTGTATGAGTGGCAGATGTTGGCTGTCGTAGGGCTGAGTTGTGGCTGTTGAATACAACTTGGGGCGGATGAATTCAGATCCTTCTTAAGAGTGACTTGGACGCCAAGTACCGGTCTCAGGCGGAGAATGTCTGATATAGCAACAAAGGATTGTAGCGGAAAAGCATTTGGGCAGAAGGGAGGCCCCGGAGTGAAAGCAAGCGAATGATTCCTGCGGGCGCTCAGGGGAGTATGACCTTGCCAGCCAGAGGCAATGTCACGCGCTTGGCTCTTTTCGTAGACCGAAGGGCATTTGGCTGACTAGCCAAAGAGCCAATGAGCGGTGAGATCAGTGGCACGACAGCATTGAAACCTCGAAACTATCTGTGTAACTGTTGAACGACACAACAATGTTGCTTTGCAGGTCAATTGAAGATCGTGGTCCCAGCAATAGTGTCATGGGCTGCGGCGTCGCCAACGGCTTGAACGGCATCTGGTGACATTTGCTGCGTCGAGCGCCCTCAACGCCCGTTTTGCGCCTTCCAAGACAACGCTCCGGCCAATGAGACGAACAAGGGGTTCGAAATGTCTCCCGTGGCTTCCCGTGCCAATGGCCAAGATGACTTAACGCGCCTTGGCTCTGGCCTGGGCCCATTGCATACTCAACCAGGGTCTTCTGCGAACTTGAATGACTTCATCCGGACGTTGTCAACGGTTTGGCTCACGATGTCAGTTGACCGGTATGACTTGCCGAAAGGTTCGCTGAATCTGGAAACCGCAGCGGTGTTCGCAGAAGGTCGGGTCCCGATTCAGCCAGCCGATCGTCCTATAAGCTTGTTGGGCAAGGAATGGCGGGCTGTAGCTTGTCCCGTTGGACTCTCGGGCTACATTTACTCGTTGCGAGTTGTAACTCTGTCAGATGTCAGAGCAAGACGAGGCAGGGAGCTATTGCGGGCGAGACCTTTTCTCGCCCTGAGCTTACGAAATTGAATGTCGCCTCGGGCTTGCCAGGGTATATGCATTGGCTGTGCGGCCTGAACCCACACGTCGAAGACTTCGTGGAATGAAGCCGTTCTTTGTGATCTGTCAGTAGATGCGGCATGTGTTGAGCAGTCTGGGGGATCGTCCCCGGGGTGACTTCTGGAATGCTCGGAAGAGGACAGAAAAAGCGTGTCTCGGATCGATCTCGAAAAGGCACACAAGCTCATCAGATAAGCCCTCGGTTGATGTCATTCTAGATTGATGGGAAAGATGGGATAAGTTGGGGGCAGCATGGGCCAAAGCAAGAGGCAGATATTGAGGGTGTGCTGAGAAAGAAACAAGCTACCTTACGTGACCGGCTCCCGTCTGAGTTGTTGATGCGCTCCAGGAAGTAAGGTACTCGGCGGACAAGAAGAATCATCTAGATGAAGGTACCTGTACTTGCCCCGTGCAGTTGGTGCTTGGGGACGACCATCCAGTGGAGCCGGCTCGACCCCACTGGACCATGCCTGCCCGCAGTAGCACTCAACGTCCAGACCTCTTTGACTTTCAGAGGCGACCCTTCACCTGAGTTGGAACAGGGGACCTGTTGGCCGCCGTGCCGTCCTCGTCCTGCTGTCTGCATCTTGATCCTTCGCAACCTTGGAACTCCATCTTCGATTCAGACAACTTTCCTCCGCTGCCAGAGGCCCAATCAAGACCGCCGAAACTATTCTGAATTATCTATCGCGTCGATGACTTGCTGATAAATCAGGCCATCGCCCACTCAGACTGCAGCTTGTTGCCCGCCAACCCCCCCTAGCCGGTCTGTCGGCCGACGACATCGAACAATAGATGCGCGGTAGGCCTGCAGCTTATGGTTCTCGCGACATGTCCATTTCGATCATATATGGCCCAATGCAGAGTTTAGCCAAGACGGCGCCCAAGAACGGCAAGCACAAGTATTCGAATCCGACTATCCCAGGACACCTTCCCCAAGTCGGCGACCACCTTTGTCGGTGGTCACCGGATCGAATGTCTCTCTACACGTACGAAGCCGGAGAGCCTAAATTTACCACGGGAGCAAGACAAGAAGAAGAATGTGCAACGTTGGGTGTGATTTGGGAATCCTGGCGACGGCGACCAGCCTGCCGGTTCCCACCGCCGCCCTCCCGGCGGCCAGACTTCTCGAACGCCCGCTCGTCTGCGCCGTGCGGCCCTCCGATTTGTCTGTTGGCTGTGAAGGAAGCCTGTTCGCGGACCCTACGATTGCAGTTCCCCGCTGAGACAGGTCATTCTCGTGTCGCTGCTCGTCTCATTCTGCTCTTGCCTGCTTCCTCTCATTGCACGGCGCTTCCGGAGGTCGACAAAAAGCACTTTTGTTCAACGACCTGATCACCACAACGTCTGTACGACTCGGGAAGCAGTATCGGGTGGGGGTTAATCCTCCCAAGACCCCTAGCAGCCGCAATTCGCATTGGAAATACCCCACTAGCCCACGCCATAGCTGGACATGACGTTGATCTTCCCCTGATGGAGGGGTCCTCAAGCATCTCTGGCACAGCGTGCGAGAGTCAGGCAGAGGGTTGGCTGCGCGGGATTGGGAGCGTCACTGGTGTCGCGTGCAGTCAACAGCCTTCACAGCTTCAACGCATGCCAAGCTGCCTTCCTGGCTGTCTCCCACCAGACACGGAATAGGGGATTATTTTCCACACTCAGCATGCTGTGTACCCCAGCCGAGGGACGATCCTCGCCCTGCAGCCCCAGTCTACGCTACTTTCAGGCGGTAGTGGACGGTGCGTGTGACATCCCGCGAGCACAGAGACTGGCGTGCTGCCAAAAATGAGTGGCGTTTCTTGCAGGAATGACACCAAGGCGTTGACAACAGCCACTCAGACTCTACAGGTTCTTATCTTTCGTCCTATCGAACCAATGGACCACGCACTGATTCATGCGAGCTGAAGGGGTTAGAGTTACCTAGACAAGTCCTAAAGGCGGCGATAAGCCGGCAGACACAATAAGGTCTTGAAGCTATTCATCTACCAGATCGATCTGGCGATTGCTGACACGGCTTTAGCTTCAGGGAGCTAACACTAATAAACATCAGAACGCTATCTGCATCGGGGCTCTCTCCTAGACGACTGCAGGTCTCTTGGTCTGATACGAAGCCCCCTCCGTGGGGACGTGGGAAGCGTGGGAAGCGTGGGAAGGCTTTCAATGTAAGAGCTGAAGACTGGGAGATGAGAGTCAGCACACAGAGACAGGAGTTCTCGAAGGACAAGGCGAGCAACACCACAGATACTGGGCAGGGAAAGGTACAGTAGGTACATGTTGGCCGCAGTGGGTCATGTACACGGTACGGTGCAAGTGCCCGCAGAGACGCAAAGAGGCACGCGAGAATGAGACTGAAGGCTCATGCACCTGAGTTTGCGCCCGCAAGCCGGGGCTGTCTCGCTACGTTGAACCATGTCGGGGTAGCGCTTTCTGCCTCTGCTACCACTGCTAACCTTGTCCTCCGCTGTGCCGCCCGCTGCGTGCCCAAAGGCAAAAGCCAAAAAAACGCCCCATGCTAAGGCACCGACTGCCAATGGACTGTCTCTGTGTACGAATGTGCAGTGGACTGCGGAGAGGGCCATGAGGGCGGCTGGGCAAGTGCAGGCGGGTGCCGTGTTGCTGGAGACGGGCAGGCAGGGTCCTGGTGGGCGAGGTGGTGGATCGTTTTGGCGCTCTGGAAGAGGTTGCTGTTGGTGAGGTACTGCGCAGGAAGTACCCGTAGCCGTGTGTACCTACCACAGGGCGTGGAGGTAGGTACGTTACGTCGCCTGTCCATCCGTCAGTCAAGACAAGATGCGGCTTGCCTTGGCCTTGCCTTAGGTAAGTGAGGTAAGGGTAAGCTGCTTAGTGCTGTCTCCTCCCATTTACCTTTAACTGAGGCCTACCGAACCACCAAGTGGACGGACGGACTCTCGACATGGAACCGTCCTGACAAACCGACCCGACGCACCTCAGACCCCATGAAATTAATCCCGTTCCCGTACCGACCTGATCTGCTTCGTCTCAAACATAAACCTCACACACCTCCAAATTTTCATTAAGGCTGCTGCGAAGCCCTGCCCAGCCAGCTTCTCAACCTGCGCCGCCCAGCCTAGCCCAGCTCCCGAGTGTGAAGCTGATTCGGGCTTAAGAGCAAGGCACGCGGTTATGCAGCCTGCGTCGTCAGCGTCCTAGGCGGCAGGCACGTCAGAGCATTTCCAGGGGCAAGGAACGACGAAGCGACCCAAGGCGAAGGTTCCGTCCCATCGAGACGAGACGGCCGCTGATTTGCGTCTACCACCTACCTCCCATCTACCACTATCACCACTACTGACTGTTCAATATCCATCATGGGTCAATGGTGGGACACCGCGAGGATCGACGCTACCGTCACTCGGCAGTTCGTCTGCCAGTACCTTTTGC